CAGGAAGCCAGTTCCACAGCCTTGGGGCAACTTCTCAAAAGGCCTTGCGGTACCTTGGAGCACTTCTCTCAGTATTCAAGGACAGACTCTTCAGCAGAGCTTGCTCTTCCCAATTTTAGTGAGTGGGGTGATGTGGGGTTTCATTACAAGGACAGGCCCCCCCCATGAGAAAAGCTGGTTTCCTCTAGGCAGGAATGAGAATCACTCAGAGCCATAGCTCACATTTGTCCTTGACCCTCTCTTGAGGGTCCTGACCTAGGCTAGCCCAATCTCATCCGATCTTGGAAGTTAAGTAGGGTCAGCCCTTGTCAGTATTTGGAAGGGAAACCTCCAAGGAATGCGAAGGTTGTGACCAGTGTTCCCTCTAAGCTGAGTTAGCGTGAGCTAGCTCACAGTTTTTTAGCCTCCGGCTCACACATTTTTGTCTTCGCTCAGGAAGGAGGGCTCCAGAGCAAACTAATTTATGCAGTAGCCAAATCACTCGCTCACAACTTTAATGCCAGTGGCTCACAGAGTAGAATTTTAGCTCACAAGACTCCACGGCTTAGAGGGAACATTGGTTGTGACATAGAGGCAGGCAATGGCAAACCACTTCTGAATGTCTCTTGCCTTGACAACCACTTTCCATAAGTCCGCTGTGACTTGACCGCACATTCCACTCTCTAGAGAGCAGTGCAGTTGCTCCATCTGTTTTGCTTGTTTTTACTGTATATCTTTGTGCAATATGCATTTGTATTATGCCTTTTTACATGGAGAAAGCTGAAAAGTGCATAGTGGACAATAGAGATGTTCACTGCATCAAGATGTCAGCTGTAGTTCCCCTAAAGCTTATGCTGGAATAACATTTAGGATACCACAAGTCATGTGTGTTTCAGCAAACAGATAGAGACACGAGAATAGCCCCCCCCCTTGCAATTAGTCCTTAATGTTTTGTTAATGTCCATGAAACCACTGGTCACAGTGAACTAGCAGTGTCTTGTTTGCCGTCTGTATTTTTTTTTTAAAGATCTTCCTTCATGGTAACAATCTGAACAGCCTTCACCAGCTAATACACCCTGACTGCCTGCCTTCAGAGTTTGGAGGGACACTTCCTCCTTATGACATGGGTACTTGGGCTCGGACATTGCTTGGCCCTGACTACAGTGATGAGAATGAGTACACTCACACATCCTACAATGCCATGCACGTGAAGCATGCATCGTCCAACTTGGAAAGGGAATGCTCACCAAAACGTATGAAGAGGTAAGAATGAAGAAACAGGATCCTATTGAAAAATGTATTTTAATCATTTTTTTCCAGCCTAAAGGGGTTATTTTGTTGAAGTGGAAAAAACAGGGCATATCACCTTGAAGAAAGAGGGAAAGATGGTTGTCTAGCAAAGAAATAACAGCATTTAGAGCCTCATTACTATTCATTGTGATGCAAATGGCTTGACAGTAAAGAGATCAGCAAGGATGTATTAAAGAATTTGGTATTAAACGGCTCACAGTGGAAAGCTCTTTCATGAGGCATCATGCTTGCTTCTTACTGTTTTGGGTCTCATGAACAACTGTTGATTGTAGAACATCTGACCATATTTGTTAAGCCAAGGGAAAAAATATCTCCCCATAATGAGAGGTAAAATAAGCTCTAACTACTACAATTGTTCTCCAAAGTAGAGTATAAAAACTTTGAATTGTATGTGTTGTTGAATCCACTGCTGGCTGAGCTCTGAAACAAGACTTTCTAGAGGGCCAATACAGATATGATAGGATGTTTCCCCCCCAGGTTTCATAGATCAAGACTGGGAATTAGGATTATGTGGTCTCTTCTCTCAACTTTTCCAGTATAAATTCCCCCTATTCTGATTTACTTTTTCGGGGTGAGTGCAGTCCCATCTAGATCAGGCTGACTTAATCCCAGATGCACAATCTTACCATATTGCTGGGTTTGATATGCAATTAATAACTTCACCATAGTTTTAGTCAACTGAAATCAGCTGGGGTCATGTTGAGAATTAGATATAATAAACAGGGAACCAGCAATAGCTTGTGGTGGGGCTCATTTTTCCCTGTGTCTCCCTCCTTTTCCTCCTCCTGGCAACCCCCATATCCTCTGCCCTTTCTCTGCTTCCTTTTCTCCATCCCACCCACCCATCAGCCAATGAAAGCTGTCTTCAGCTTTATTATTTATTTCATTTGTACCACACTTTTCTCCCTACTGGGGATCCAAAGCAGATTATGTCTCTTCCTTTTTACCCTTACATCAACCCCACGAGGTAGGTGAGGCTGAGATAATATGCTTGGCCCAAAGTCATCCAGCGAGCTTCCATGGTAGGATGAGGATTTGAACCTGGGTCACCCAGATCCTTGACCATCTTAACCATTGCACCACACTGGCTGCCAGCTTTTGTTAGCCAAATTGCAATACATGTATTAATAAATGTGGGGAACATGAATATTAGATGGCAAGAGGCATATAAGGGAGCAATAACCTATGTGTACAGGAGTCCCACTTAGTCCAGATTTCCAGAAATAGACGCAGAGACCAGATCTTAATGAAATGGTTTCTTTACTAGGGAGTCTGCATACACATACAATAAAATCCAAGCATACACACAATAATACAGAACTAAGAAAATTAGACAGAAAGGTATAGAGACGTTTGCACTAGCAGGAGAAATTTCTTGATTGGGCAATAATTACCTCTGACGAGAGAAAGCGATCCTGCAGCATAAAATAAAGGGAGACTAAAAGGGAAAAGGGCCGTTTATTGACCAGCAATACACGTGGTACACTCTGGGCAGCACTTAAACCGAGAGTTGGCAAGGTAGGGTGGGGTCAGGTAGAGAGGAAGTGAGAGAGAGAGAGAGCAATGGGGAATCTCTCTCTTTTTATACCCTGGCTTGATTAGGGGTGGTCACCTAGTCCCCAGGAAGTTTCAACACAAAAACTGGTTTCAGGAGGAAGGGGACTTAATGGTTGGGCAATGTTACTTCTATACATGCTAACAGTGGCACTTTTGGGAGACAATAGCTAGGTTTGTTGTTAGTGTCTGTTGTTAGTGGAATGGCTAGGGTTGTTAGTGTTGATAGTCTGACCATTGTCTCAGTGATGGGCTTGGCCGGTATATGTCAGGAGGAAGGGGACTTAATGGTTGGGCAATGTTACTTCTATACATGCTAACAGTGGCACCTTTGGGAGACAATAGCTAGGTTTGTTGTTAGTGTCTGTTGTTAGTGGAATGGCTAGGGTTGTTAGTGTTGATAGTCCGACCATTGTCTCAGTGATGGGCTTGGCTGGTATATGTCAGCCGCCTAATCCCTTCATGGAAGCAGTTCTTTTGTTATGCTGGAGAGCATACGGGCAGCATCTGGCGGAGGTGGGGGGGAAGAAGATGCCTGTGTGCTGAAGGAGAAGTTTGCTTATGGACTCTCTGCAAAGATGTTCAGAGCTCCTTTTGGAAAGCATGTAGTTTCTCTTCAATGCATTGTCACTGGTTTCTGTGCACTTGCATGGCTAGGGAGATTGCCTCTCCTTCTACTGGGATGCAGGTGAGAGGTATCAGGCAATCCACGGATCCGTTTCAGGTCTGGCACACTGTCTCAGGATGAGGCTTCCCTCACCTGGGTGCGTGTCTACAGTCCAGGCAGTTGGCATCAGTGCGTGGTCACCACACAGCCCATTTCCTTTAGCACACTCATTGCACAGTCCAGTAATGAATTAGGGTTCATAAGTCTATAAGAGTAATGTGAGCTCCTTGCAGGGCAACACTTTCCCAAGCAAGTTTCAAGTTGTACAGTATCTAGTTGCTCAAGTGAGTTAGGTAATGGCTGTGGCTGGGTCCAAGGAAGTTGCATGGCATCAAGTCATCTGGTAGCCTTGTGGTGATTGCTTTTGAATAGTAGTAAGTGGTCAGGTAGTTGCTGTGGGCCTGGGTGAGCCATACTAGTCACATATTTGCAAGTCACTCAGTGGTTGCTGCCACGCTTGGCTCTAATGAGCCTTCTCTCCAGAGCAGGGGAAGGGAAAGGGGTGGACTGGGAGGTCCAAACATCCGTATAAAGTACTCCCATCTCCCTCCGACCTTCCACTACCTTTTATTGACAGAAACCAAGACTTGAAGGCTGGCAATATCATTATCATTTACTAGCAATCCCCCCAAATGGCTACTGAGATATCAGAAGGCATTCATTTCTTTAAGATACAAGTGCTGCTTCAAATATTTGGGATGTTAACCTCCCACATGTATTTTTTTCTTAGATATCATGGTTGTTCTTTAAGATCCATCGTGTCTTTTCATGTCTCCAATATCTGGATTTGTATACACCACAGATCTGGGCATGTTGAGCACATGCAGGGGAACTACAATTTCAGGGGGCATCTAATTTTCCTCTCTCC